ATTTAACTTGTTTTCAATTCCAACGCAGCCTGGTCCATCAAAAAGACTAAGGAAACAGTAATTATGTCATTTAGAACATTAGAAAGGTACGTTAAAATCATTCATATTTATTTATAGTTTAACACTGAAGCGCTATAAAATATTAATGAATGAATAAAATCGAAAAAGTTTGTAATGAAAATTACTCCTTGAAAACTCCTCTATAAAAATGGCCTGATGTAATTTTTTTGTAAAATGACCAGAAAAAAAGTTATAACGACCAATTGAAAATTTTTTACAAAATGTTCATCAATTTTCGTTTATAACTTTGTTACTTCTGGTTATACGACTAAAAGTTACTGAACCAAAGTTTTAGAGAATTTTATTCTTAATCAAAAATGTCTGAACAAATTTTTTGTGAGATCAATAGGGTGTCAGATAAACCATAAAAACCATTTGCACCCCTTTTTTCAAGATGGCGGCCGCGGGACAAGGGCTACAACCCCACAAACTTGGATTTAACTAGACTAAGTCCTTCTTGATATTAAAAAATAAAATTGCGTCCTCTGACAAACGCACGCTAAGCCCAAAAAACTGTAACATTTCAATGGACTAGGTAGCCGCCCTATTAAAACTAGGTAGACATACGGTTGAGAATATTATTGTCACATTTTTGTAATGATCTGGAAAATGCGAAATTTGTTTGTTTAATTACATATTTGGATACAGTAAGAAAATGGTAAAGTATACAGTTTTGATAAGTTAAGCGTGTTTCTAACTACACAACTATGAAAATTAACAATAATGCGCCGACTTAACCCATTTGAAACAGACTGTATAACGCTCTTAAACCTCTTACACTTGACTTTGTTAAATAAAAGTAGTAAAATTTGCACGGGAAGTTATCAACAGTAATCATGGACTAGTCTTTGAATAAACGAATACTTTCATTAGTTTGCATCAAATAATAAACAGACACGCTTTGTGTTTCTAATTCAGATGATTTTTAAGCAAACGTCAACGTCCAGAGTAGCCGAAATGGTCGGTCGACCATCGCCGCCGTTGGTCGGATACCTGTTTTTATGCGAAATGGGAGTTATGGACACTTTTTTTTATGCATCTTTCATTTATGCGAAATGGGAGTTATGCACAGTTTTTTTATGCATCTTTAATTTATGCGAAATGCCAGTTACGGATATTTATGCGAAATGGGAGTTATGCGTACTTTTTTTTATGCATCTTTCATTTATGCGAAATGCCAGTTACGAATATTTATGCGAAATGGGAGTTATGCGTACTTTTTTTTATGCATCTTTCATTTATGCGAAATGGGAGTTATGCACACTTTTTTTATGCATCTTTAATTTATGCGAAATGCCAGTTACGAGCAACTTATTTATGCAAAATGGGAGTTATGCGTATTGCCAGTTATGCGTAGTTTTTTTTATGCGAAATTTATTTGTGAGAACATTTTGAAAATGACTATTTTTTTATGCAAAATGGGAGTTATGCGTCTTGACATTTATGCGTCGTTTTTTCAAACGCTATTTATTTTATGCAAAATGGGAGTTATGCGTGTTTGTATTTATGCGAAATGCTAGCGACCCTTTTGAGTACTGAAAGGTATTTGCAACATTGAGTACTGCTGCAAGTTCTTGGTGAACCTAGGCTGTTGGACCATATCAACCTTGCGCGTAATAGTAGTATTTATTACATAGATCTCAGCAAATGTAAGATAATCAAATACACACACAAGACAAAAAACAAGTTTGGTATAAATAAACAAATTAACAATCATTTTCAAAGAACTTCAGAATCCTTTAAATGGTGTGCTCAACGGTTAGGGTGGACCTAATGTATAAAGTGAAGCTATAAGGATAAGGAAAAGACTACCGCACTGAAAATCATTAAAAAAAACCTATAGACATCCAACCCCACAAATTATTTTGTTGCAATACATCTAAAATTACACTGTATATGGAGTAGCTAACACATTATAGGCAAAATGTGGAAACAGATCGGTAGTACACAAGATCTGTACCTATAGTAGATGACTACTAATCAACGATTTTTAGTTGTCTATATATGGTAGCATAGTAATCAACATCGGACAGAAAGTTATCGAAATACTTTGCAAAGAAATTAAATTTGTACTGACCATCAGGTATACCCGGAGGGAACTTATTTGCAAGCGGTCTCCAATTGTACATATAATAATGGAAATTCTGAAACCAAATAACATATTTAATGCTCTTCCTAATGTAAAATTACCTTTCTTAATGGACAAGCGTGTATGTTACCGCCTCAATAGAATTTAAAAAGCAAAGCAGATTAGATTAAATTGGCTTTCAAATAATGTGCCATTTGCCATAGGATTCCATTTAAAATTTTAGGGGTTAAGCTCCCTACGTAGAGGGGTGAAGACTTGGGTTCGTGATTTGTGTTCCAAAAGTTGTCCCCCTCGAATACAAAATTGACGTGTTCGAGGATTTTTCGAAATTTCTAAATTTAATACCCTAAAAGCCCTCTGTATACTTCTCGGGCCACTCTGTATACATTGACATATAATAAATGGACTGCGCGTGGCAATGATAACCGCGAATACTGCAGATGAGAGAGAAGGGAAAACTAAGAGGGCAAGCTGTCTCTTACGGTTACGCATCTGATTGGTTCATTCGCTTTCATTTGAATGCGATCGTGATCGCTTCTGTTAAAAGAACGAATCAGATGCGTAGCCGCAAGAGACAGCTTTAGGCTATTCCCTACGTACTGTCGAAATTTCAAGTTAATTGACTCATTTTGAAAAAATTGCCAGAGCAATTACTTGCATTTCCTGGACTCATAATGGGAATCTCATACATGCCGCAAAATTGAAAATCTCACATCTCGTTTTTGTGCAAATTGTGTGCTAATGATACAAGTTTGTGTATGATAATATTTTGGGAATTCGCGATCTTGTCCGAAAATGTTGTTAAGGGTCTATTGAACAACCTTGTCTAAAATGTGTAAAATTAATATATATTTTCAAATGATCTTTTAGTGATTCTCAAACCCCAATATATAATTCTTGAATTATCACAACAAGGTAGTGGGTGTAATTTTCAATTTCGAAGTGGGGTAGCTGGGGGACGAAGAGATGAAACCGAAAATTCTCTAGGTACCATTTTTGAACTTCCCCTCGATATATCGACTCAAAGCAAGCAATAATCACAGCTTGCCAAGAGTTATTAAGGGTGTATACTTTTGAACACAACACCCTGTATTTAAATCAGACTTTGAATATGTTTAAAAGTTTTGGCTAAAACGGGCTTAATGAATAACCCATATGTTCAAATTTTCGGAAATTGATGCGCAATAAATACTAATCGGCTTATCTGGCCCTTCCTGTATGAATATGAAGATACCAGTGCATTAAGGATTACTTGTCGCCGCTGCACTTCGTACCTCGTCAAAAAGTGTATTTTTAGCTGGTTTGCAGATAGTGTCTTCCATGCTGATAAACAATTACCGAGTGTAATTCAAATGTACCCACTCGCACCAATAAAACAACGTCTTCGTTACAAACACCTGGCTTTTCATATAGGCGATAACACGCCCGTATCGTGAAACTCAATTAACTTTGCAACGATAAGAAAGCTTCTTATCTTCGACTGGAGAAAAACATGAGATAAACTTTTACAACTACTACTCAAATAACTTCCAGATAAAACGGTGTCCTCGAATTCTACCAATGTGCTTGGATTTGCGTTTACTCTAAAACTTACCGACTACATTTCCACTTTAAAATAAAGTGGAAATTCACATACAGGGTGTCCAATCGTTATGGCAGGTATCGAAACCAAACAGAACATTCGCTTGACGTAGTTTACACAACAATATATTTTCACACTTCAACCCGTATGGCATCGCATATGCTTATAAAAGAGGGACTATTATAATTACGAGTCCGGCGGTTAACCAGAAATAAGGATTTTTCAAAATCTTAAAATTGTCATATTTTATTCCATGATCTTTGTACAATGCACGGTTTAGAAGATATACAGGAATTTTACACGAAAATAAAATCATACAAAAGCACAAGCTGACTCGACAAGAAACACAAAACTTCAAAGCCTCATCAGGTCCCATCCACTACAACAACCCAATTATAAATGTTATAAATTTGCACCATCGCCACGTTTCATATCAGCTCTCATTCTATCAACACAAATTGATGTTGGCAAGATCCTCAACCAAAACGGGTCAGTAATTCTGGAAACAGAAAACCCAGTAACGCGGGGGCTATTATAACCTTGCTACTATGTATTGATTGACCATTTACCTTGTTTTGTTTAAAAAATGAAAATTGCAATAAGGATAGTGTCACAAAAAAAGATAACGTTGAAATTAATGGCTCCGGTAACTAGCTCAGTCGGTTTGATTTTTATTTTTTACCTGTCTTACGTTGGCTTGCTCCAGGGATCTTCCATAGCTGAAATAATTACCAAAAATTGGAATCCTAGACTGTCCAATTTAATAACAACGATATAAATGATTGACTTTAGATATATTTATTATGCATCTCTTTAGACACAGTAATTTTTTATGAAATTCCTATCTAGTAGGGACATGAATATTTACTTCCTAAAGGAGAAATGGTCACATCTCTTTCTTAAAGTTAAATTTAATAGTCACAAAATCAGTGTTTTCTTTGCTCCTTCATTAGTCTTTTATTTCAATGCTGCACACGACCCGAGCCATGGCAACACAAAGCTGTCAGTGATGTGTCGATTTGTCATTTTACAGATTGTAGTGTAGTTTCCCAAATCTTGCTTATTGACATATTTTATTCAAAATTGATATGGAGTTTGATGAAAGTTGTGCCAAGTGCCAAAAATTTGTTAAATTTGATAGCGAAGCTTTGTGCTATTGTGAAACATGTTCTTATGTTTATCACGCCACTTGCACCGGGCTCTCAAAGGAGGATGTCGAATTGATGACAATATTTGAACATTCTTCTTTCAAGTGTGATAGATGTAAAAATGAAGAAAAACAGGTAGCCATAGTCAGTAGTTAGTGTACCGTGGATGCAAGTTGCTTAAATTGCTTAATTTGTGTGTGGTTATTGCGTGCAGTTGACTAACGTAATTTATAAGGGAGATGTAGTAAATAACCAATCTATTAATTTGAGCAACCAATATTCTGTGTTGTTATATATTATTTCCCAGTTACGCTGATGCATATTTTTCCTACCCAAATTATCATACTCGAATCAAATGTTGAATAAGTTGTTAATATACAGAGAGATTCATTAGAAGTTTTTAAGCTTGCAGTTGAAATAGAAATTTGAAATTTGGTTCACAGCCATAATCGATTATTGCGAATTGAAATAAAACAATTTCAAAATGGCGCCGCTTTCGTAAACACCGGAAGTTGGCGCCAACTTAGTTTTTTTAAATAGGAACATAAATTGACATGTCAAAAACTATGACAGATAGCTGATCTTATGGTAAATGCGTCTAAAGCTGGATTCACATGAATACGAAATCCGACGATACGGTCATCCGAAATGCTTATGATTGGTCAATAGTTTGAAATGTCATGACATTTCAAATTATTGACCAATCATAAGCATTTCGGATGAGAGTATCGTCGGATTTCGTATTCATGTGAATCCAGCTTAATTCAGAATAAAATGGCACATTTAGAAAAAAATAGAAAATGGTATTTTTCTATTTTAAAAAACAAAATGGCACCAACTTCCGGTATTTTACGGAAGCGTCACTATCTTAAAATTATTTCAAGTTTCCATTTTAACTGCAAGTTTGAAAAATTCTAACGAACGAGCAACGCGAATCTCCCTGTATAGATCAAATTGATCCTTGTATACCTAGTAGGCCCAAATGCAAATAGGCCTTAGACCATATAGTACATGGACTGCTAATTGTAACTAAAATATGGTCAAGGACATTGCCTGGGTATGTGCGTTTCAGGGTAAACGAGTCTGTCCGAAATTGTCCGATGAGACACGATTTGAGGCTGTCAACCTATAAATTAACAAACGTCAATTAATTTATGGCCCAGATATGGCAAGAAAAGCAAACCTATTCTTATTTGTGGATGTATAGAAGATAATCAAGATTATTTAAAGCTCCTCGTACTACGCGGTTACCATAAAAGCTACTCTACGCGATCCGAGTGGTGTTCATACGACTTTAGTTTACCCTGAGATTCACATACCCACGACTACAGTGCCCCCTATCCGTGACCACCCATTTTGTATTGAAAGCATAGGGCTAATAGCAGTCCATGTACTATATAAAAGATGTATTTGCTTGTGCAGCAATCGAGCGGTCTGGGTTTAACACCAAGGCGACCATTAACGAAAAGTTCTAAGCCAGAGGTTCGCTTTACTCTCACAAGGTGTCCATCGGATTCCTCTGAAGTGAGTGAACAGGCCGGCACCGTTGTCGAAGAGAAGGTCATGGTGCATGCCGCACTGGATGGGTCTGTTGAGCACACGATCTCTCCACCCGTTTCGAAGAGAGTTACAAATTCAGGTAATAAATGGTTTGTATTTAGACCATAAACATATTGTCATTCGCAGACTCACGTAAACGAACCTATCATGAAATTACCAATGAAGAAATTATATCACTGTCAGACCTACCAAAGACGCCTAGATCAAGAAAAAGTTATAAAGGTATTTCACAGCAGAAACAATTTTTAACTTACTTCACATTTTCTAGAACACGTAACCGAGAGAATTCGATCAAGCCCTAGGCTTAATCCAGTTACAGAGCTATTTAAAAATGTCACAACCGATTTGAAGGAAGAATCGTATGTAGAATCCGATGTGAATGAGCCTGAACAAAATTTGGTTGTAACGACAACCAGAACGTTGAGATCACGAAGAAGTTATCAAGAATTCACAAAACCGTCACAGTCAAGCACAAATCTTAGGAAAACAAAATCGAAGACGCAGGAAACTAAGTCGTCTCTTTGTAGGGACGTACTTGAAAATAATGCTTTCAACAAGATGGTGGCCCTTTCGACACCTACTATTGAACAAGACATCTCCACACTTCCAAGCGAAGAAAACCAGAACATCGTCTCTACAACAGAAAATCATGCTAACGAAAGCTATCAATGTGAGCAGATGGACGTATCTGAAATCATTGAAAGTGATCCGGTTGTGGCTTCGGAAGTCGAAGTCCCTACGAATAACCAAGACAATGATGCGGAATCTGGTCTGAACGTTGAAATTAAACCTGACGTTGTCAGTGCAGATGTCGAAATTGGCGCGTCGGGCGAGGAAGCAGGCAAACAAGTGCCGGAAGTCAGTTCTTCTGTTGAAGTTGGTCCATTAACCGAAGAAAATTTCAATCTGTATGACGATTTGCAAGATGACATTTATGGATTGGCCGATCCGGACATGTATCCCTGTGATGTGCCCATCGAATTGAATGAAGAAGTTTGCTTATCTTCTATCGCCCAACAGGAAAGTGATGCTGATGTTTTAAATTTATCTGCTGGTGAACATTCACTCTGTTCTTCAAAAGTTGGTAAGTGTTGATCTTATCTACTTTTCATTGATCCTAGGTTATGTTGTTGAGTGAAGGATTGCGGAAGAGGTGCAATTGCTGTCTGTTTAATCACAGAGTTACATATAGTAAATAGAGAGGCAGTACATAAGACCTGCGCGTGGAAAAATAACCCCAAGCACAGTAGCCACATACTTATATAATTTCAACGGCCAGGCCGTTCTGACACATGC